TTAGGGTTAGGGCTTAGGGTTTAGCGGTCTACTCGGACAGTGTTTGCTCCTGCTCCACGGTACCCAGAGGAGCGTGCTTCCTGTTCTCCACAGCACATGTTGGGTGCTGGGGTCGGCTTACTTGGAGATCATGGGCGCTTGGAAGCTACATTTGTTGAGCTCATTACAAGTAGTAAAATTAGTTTGTTTAGAACCCTAATCCTTTAAGTAGGGTGTATCCCTTAAGCCGTCAGCTTTTGCATCCCTTAAACCGTCAGCTTTTGCAGACAAACCTATGCTTACGCACTTCCAAGGCTCCTTGGGTGGACAAACTCCAAACCCTCGTACAGGAGCCGAGAAACAGAACTCCTGATAGTCGGTGTGCCGTGGTGGTCATAAGGTCTTTCCGATATGACTGTGCAAGTCAAAAACACCGATAAAACGTTAAGCAAGAAAGCAAGCATTTCACTTGTTAGTTCCAGCCGGTAACCCTGAACCTGAAACTCAATGCCCTATGATTGAGCCACTATGTCAGGTCCTTAAGCACTAAGCTCCGTGCTTCAACCACCGTACAGACAATAGCTTGGGCTCGAGGTGGTGCAGTGGAGGTCGGTTCCCAGAGACTCCAATATCCCTGAATTAAGAAATATACCTTGAATCATAATTAGGGATCCTACTATAATTTAAAGTATCCGTATATTCCTAAAGGGATATTGGAGTCTCTAGGTGTTGGTTTGTTTTGGAAACATTGGGGTCGGAATAAAGGCACCACGTTCCAGCGCCAGTTGTATGTTGGAATCAAGGTTTAGGGCGTATAGTAGGATTGGCTTCAGGTGGGGCGGATAGGGTTTGTAGGATTCTCGTGCACTTTGCCGGCGGGTCTTTGGACCATGTAATAGTGTACAAGGCACTTGGTCTGGGTAGGGTTTGGGTTTCGGGATGTAGGCTCTGTCCCAGTAGGATCATAATCTAAGCACACCCCATAATCCATGATACAAGCCGGAACGTGGAATAGTCCCCCAAAAAAGAATCTTGCTCCAAGACTCTGAGCACACCTCGCCACCAATGAAAAGACCCATACCGCCGGAACCAGATTGTGCGCAGTTTCGGATTCGGTGTTTTCCCCAAAACCCTAAGCCCCCTAGACCTTAAACGCTGAATTGGCCCTAGATGTATCCGCCTCACGCCCCAACACCCTAATATGGTCCTCACGAGCTTTACAACTTCAAAGTCCGGGTCTTCGTGCTCTTGTCAGGTCCCATAAAGATGCCATAAACACATGAGAGAGAGAGAGAGAGACACGCATGTAGAGGTATGTATATGTACACATATGTACACATATACGCAAGTAAATTTACAAATGTTACATGTAAGCAACTAGATAGCTGATGATATATAGGATCCCCGTTTGATTGAACCCTAAAAGAGCACGAAAGTCCGAGTTCGGCTTCAATTCGAATGTCCCGGAAGTTGCAGTTTGTAGGGCGACGAATGGTTGGCATGTACAGTCAGGGACCATGGCGTAGTGTTGGGCGTGGGTTTAGGGTTTAGGGTTTAAGGTTTAGGGGGAGCAGACTCTCCATGACGACGTCTCTGTGCAATGGTGAGCTTGGAAGTCCAAGGTAGCGGTGCTGATGACGACAGGCCGCCAGCGCCATAGAGCCCGACCCCGGAAGGATATCAATAATCACTCGCTTTTTGATGCCATCCTCTCCGACCGCGAAGAGGTTCAGGAGCTCCCTGTTCACCTTCTCGGAAGCCCCCATCGGCCACAGCGGCTGCCCCTCGCTGTCGAGGGTTGTGTCATGCCCAGAGTCAGGCCCTGCCAAATCGTCCCCCTGCTGATCTTCCTCATCCTCCTGCGGATCGTTCGGGTCTGCTGGCTCAGCATTGCCATGCTCGCCACCTTCCTGTGGCTTCCCCATGGCCTCGAAGTAAGTCAGAAGCTGAAACAAAACCCACACATAGCACAACCAACACAAAACAACAATAATAACAGAAACCTGATATCTCAAACACAAACCAACAAATCTTTTACAGCCCCCTAAAACGCATAACCTAATCATAGAACCAGGAAGCCCTCCAAACAGAGCTTAACGAAGAAGCCCTGGGCCCTGCAACCTAAACCCCTAAACCCTAAACCCTAACATACCCTTACAGACCTTTCATACTCTTATTCGAGGATTTAGGAACCCGTAAACGAACGCTACACCTCAAAGACAACAAAAGGAAATTAGGCTTTGAGCCTAGACAAAAAGAGCCTAGACAAAAATAAGGCACCCTAAGCCCTAAACCCTAAACCCTTAAGGCACCCATTTGGGCTATTCCACAACCTTAGGGCTCCCAAAGAGCAGAAACTGGGTAGGCTTTAGGGTTTAGGGTTCAGGGGTTTAGGGTTTAGGGTTTAGGGTTCAAGGGTTTAGGGTTTAGGGTTCAGGGCTATTCATCTTGTTTAGATCGCAAAGTCGGTGCAGTTTGTACCCAGACCTTCCAAAAACATTTCTATAGAAATATACCACGAAATCCTTCTATTCGGGATCCGAGTACATAGGGAAAACAAAGACTGGGGCACCTGAGCCGCGGCATGGTAATTTCGAAGCGCAGTTCGACCTTGAGCTTCGCCCCCGGGCTTTGGGGGCTCAGGGGTTAGGGATTAGTGGTTCAGGGTTCAAGGGTCTAGGGTTTAGGGGATTAGGGTTTAGGGGATTAGCGGATTAGGGTTTAGAGGGCTTAGGGGTTCGAGGGTTTAGGGATTGGGGGTCTAAGGTTTGGGGGTAGGCTGCAGCATTTCGGGGGCATTTATATAATGGTTCGATCTACACAGGGATCTATAAGGCTTCAGGGGTTTGGGGTTAGGGCTTAACGCTTTAGAGGGTTGACATTTTGGGTGCTTGCATATTTTGGGGCTGAAGAGTCTTGGGGATACAATGCTTCAGGGTTTCAGGGTTTTGGGCTTTGGGCTTCGGGGTTTGTCGGGGGTTTAGGGTTTGGGCTGCAGGGCTCTATGATCCAGGCACCTTGATAACCAGAATCGGGGTCTATGAAATTTTAAAGTACATGTATACTATGATATAGACCTAAACCACTGAATCCTAAAGTCTTACAGCCTTACATCAAGCCCTGCCGAGAGTAAGCAATGTACTTTTAACAAAGAGATATGGCCGTAAAGAATAGGTACAACTCGGTACTGCGGTTGCTCTACCCTGGACCCCCAAACCCCCTAAAACCCTGAAGCCCTAAAAGCCCTAAACGAGAGTCGCCTCAATCGCTCTGAGGCCATCGCTCTAAGAGGCTCCGAGATGAAGGCTAGCAGCTCGATGTCCTCCTCTGGAGTACGCCTTGGGGCCACGGTTTAGGGTTTAGAGTT